GTTACATTCACCTTATTGTTTTGAGACGGTGTCGTTTCTCCCTTCTTCTCCTCCCTCTAACCCCCTCCCGTGTACCTTTCCTTGCTCTTGCTTTCTCAAATTCAAGGCTTCTTTCCCCTCATTTGTTGTTATTTATATGTGTGTGTGTATATATGTAAGTGCAGCCTGCTCAGTCTGTATAATGTTACTTGTATGTGTATGTTTTCAGAGCCGGCCATTTGGTTCTGGCTAACAACTGGTGTGCCCTTCTCCAGGGAAGACTTTCTTGTTCTTCGTCTAGGGCTGAGGCCTTGCAAGCCTTCTCCTTTCTCATGGGCATGGAAACCTCCTTCAGGTCTTGTTTAGGCAGTCCTGTCAGTGAGACTTTGCGGATGGAGCTTCCCTGACATTTCTAGGAGACACTATCTCATAGCAAACTTCTTGTTCCTTTGACTCTTATGATCTTTCTGCCTCTTCTTCTACAACAAAGGTTCTCAACCTCCTAATGCTGCACTCCTTTAATACAGTTCCTCATATTGTGTGACCTCCAATCGTAAACTTATTTCTTTACTACTGTAATTTTGCAACTGTTATGAATTGTTATGGAAATATCTGATATGTGACCCTTCTGAAAGGGCCATTTGACTCCAAAGGAGTTGTGACCCCTGCTCCTCCCAGGCTGAGAACCTCTTCTACAACAGTTCTTAAACTTTAGGTGAAGTTATGTTATAGATGGATCGGTTGGAACTGCATTTTGGTGGCTGTGGTTTTTTGGAATGATGTCTACCTGTTACAGAGATGTTCCTTGATGAGAACCAAGAATTACACTTCTCTGTGGACGTGAGGATAAAGTAAAATTAGAACGTAGCTAGAGAGTGTGCTGATTTAGTAAGGAGGAGGATACAGGTTCTCCAAGATCCACGACCTCACTAGCCCTGGGAAGGCTGGGTTTCAGTACCAGGTGTGATTTCCCTCTTGTTGAGAAGACCTTAAGTACGATTAGAGTTGTTGATTACCTTCAACATATGTATGACACGTTGGCCACTGTTATGATTCGTAGGCATCACAGTGGGTAGAATTATCAGTTGCCTCCCTCCTTTGGAAGCTTGCGTGGCACCTTCCCATACCATGAAACCTAGGAGGAGGCTTTCATTGCAGATCCACCTCTGGTCCTCTGAGTCCTGAGAACAGTTTTTTTTTTTTTTTTTTAAATCTCACAGGCCATCAGGAAATCCCATGTATTCTACCTTTTCTTTTATTACCCGGAGAGCCTCTCGGGAAAGGTGCTGCTGACACATAGGCTGGCTTCCTGCTTGAGTGAGAGCTGGAGGAGAGACTGTCATGGCTGGAACCGTGCAAGCAATGGCCTCACTGACATGTCAATGTGTTTCTTTTCCTTTGTGTTCTCTGCTTACCTCTGCAGAGAAGCACATTGTTTATCTATGAAAAGCTAAAGGCAGATAGGAAGTTATGTTTTCAATTATTGAAATCCAGGAATAGCAGAACCATCTCCTCCCCCAATCCATGAGAACAATTATCAAAGCCCCACCACCACCACCTTGGTCAGCTCCTGTAATAATGTTCCACTCTGAAACCCAGACAGAAATGAGACCAAAGAAAAGGTGAGCGGAAAAAGAGAGAGGAAAAAAATGCAAAAGGAAGGAAGAAAAGGTTTTAAAAAATCTAAGTGGCAGAGCTGGAAAGGCGAGTTAGTAGGAAAGCACTGTGCCACCCTGACAACCCGGGTTAGAGTCCCACAACACACAAAACCCAGGAGAGCCAGATGGAAGCTGGCTGTTTGTAATCCCAGCCGCAGCATTCCTATGCTGAGAGGAGAGGGAGAGACAGAACTGACCGGAAGCTCAAGCTCATAGTGTGGCGGCAGAAATAACACGAGAGAGATTGTTTCAAAAGCAAGATGAAAGAAGAGATTCCTGGAAAAGCTGTCCTGTGACTTCCACACACCCAGACATACAAATAATTGAAAACAATCCAAGTGGTGGACCAGGTGTGGTGGCACACGCCTTTAATCCCACACTCGGAAGGCAGAGCAGGAGGAGCTCTGTGAGTCCCAGGGCAGCCAAGCCAGAGCTACATAGTATATAGTGAAACCATTTGAAATACATAAATAAATAAATAAATAAAAAATTCAAGTGGTAACACATTTTGGTTTCACTTCAGGGAACAAAAAGTATTGGAATGAGGTAGGAGAGTCTATGTCTTTATATCTGTATTCTGCTTCAAAATCATACTGAATTGGTTTGGTTGACTGTGAGCCTGTTTCAAGCCTGGCTAGGACGGTGCCCGTCACACCCACTTCTTTCTCTCCTTTGCTGTCCTGGTGAAACAGCTGAGGCCTTCCTGCCACAGCTACCTGTTCCTCACCAACCCGTCAAGGGAAGAGGCCGAAGGGTGATGGCTCTCTGACAGCGACCATGCACAGCCACAGGCAGATCAGAAAGGGACTGGAGCTTGTATGAGGGAGATTTGCATCAGTGAGACAGACGAGGATTCATTCTCTTCCCTTCTGGTTGGGGTTACCGAGTATGTTATTAGGGAGGGGTTGCTCTAGAGTCCCAGTGTTTCCAGGTTTTTTTTTTTTTTTGCATTTAGTTCAAAGAATAAAAAAAGCACAAAGACCTTATTTAGAGGTAAAGTTAAAGCCCAGATTAGCAATACTACAAGGAGCTAGGTCCTGAGCAAGAAGAGTGCCAGTGACTGGTTAGGGCTTTCTTTTATGGGTTCAAGAGGAAGAGCAGTTGGTTATTAAAGGGAAAGGGGCTGGGTGGTGGTGGCACACGCCTTTAATCCCAGCACTCGGGAGGCAGAGACAGGTGGATCTCTGTGAGTTCGAGACCAGCCTGGTCTACAAGAGCTAGTCCCAGGACAGGCTCCAAAACCACAGAGAAACCCTGTCTTGTTTAACCAAAAAAAAAAAAAAAAAAAAAAAAAAAGGGAAGGGACTTTTTTTTTTTAATGTGTGTGTGCATGCATGAGAGAGGAGAGGGGGGAGAGAGAGAGGGAATGGGAGGAGAGAGTGGGAAGGTGAGAGAGAAGAGAGGAGAGAGAGAGGGGAGGAGGAGAGAAAAAGGGAGGAGAGAGCGAACGAGCTAGCAAGCTTGCTTGTGCACATACTGAATTGATTTGGTTGACTGTGAGTCTGTTTCTGTGTGAAGAGGCCGAAGGAGGAGTTCAGGTGTCCTGCTCTGCTGTATTCCCTGGAAGCAGGGTCTCCCAGGAAACCGGAAGCTGGTTGGTGCTGGCAAGCCCCGCTATCTTCTCTCTCCACTGCAGTTCTAGGCATGTGACCAGCCCCAGCTTTTCAAACTCAGGCCCTTACACTTGTGCAGCAGGTGTCCCTACACACTGAGTCATCTGTCTGCCTCTGCCTCCTGAGTTCTGGGACTAAAGATGTGCCCCACCATGTTTGATTGCTTAACAATGTTAACTCCATCCATCTTTGATTAATCATCTTTTTTTAAAAGTATTTATTTATTTTGGGAGCTGGAGAGATGGCTCAGTGGTTAAGAGCATTGCCTGCTCTTCCAAAGGTCCTGAGTTCAATTCCCAGCAACCACATGGTGGCTCACAACCATCTGTAAAGAGGTCTGGTGCCCTCTTCTGGCCTCCAGGCATACACACAGACAGAATATTGTATACATAATAAATAAATAAATATTTTTTTAAAAAAGTATTTATTTATTTTATATGCATTGATGTTTTGCCTGCATGTATGTCTGTGTGTGGGTGTCAAATCTTGGAGTTACAGACAGTTGTGAGCTGCCATATGGGTGCTGGGAATTGAACCTGGGTCCTTTGGAAGAGCAGCCAGTACAGTATTCTTAACCGCTGAGGCGCCTCTCCAGCCTCAATCATCTTTTTAGTGAGGCCTACTTGAACCACCTGTTCTGAAACCCTGCTGAATAGTCCATACTCCCAATCTTTTTGGTTTTTTTTTTTTTTGGATAGGGTCTCAGAGCATAGCTGTGATTGGGAACTCAAAAGATCCTGCCCACTTCTGCTTCCCAAGTGCTGAGGCTAAAGGTGTGCCAGCACACCTGGCTTGATTCTCTTGACGTTTTGAATTAGCACCGAGTCTGTGTTCTGGCACAGTAACTTAGTGCTGAGTTATGTTAGTGTGAGCTTTCTACCATTTTAATATCTACTCTGTAACTTCACCAGTTTCTATCGGCTGCGTCTCTGTGTGTGTGTGTTTGAAACAGGGTGTTGCAGCTCTGTCCAGTCAGAACGTTGCTACTGCAAACCAGGCTGGTCCCAGATGTTGAGCAATCCCACCATCTCTGCCTCTTGATTGCCAGGATTAAGGATAAGCATTTGCTGGGTGGTGGCGCACACCTTTAATCCCAGAACTTGGGAGGCAGAGGCAGGTGGATCTCTGAGTTCGAAGTCAGCCTGGTCTACAAAGTCAGTTCCAGGACAGCCAAGGCTGTTACACAGGGAAACTCTTCTCAAAAATCCACCACCACCAACAACAACAAAAGGATATGTAGCATTACAGTTCCCTAGAAGTGTTTAATTTGGGATTCCTAACCTATAAAGACAGAGAAAGTTCTGCAATTTGTAGTATTTCTATGCTATGGAAAGTGATAATAAGAAAAAGAAAGACTTTCAAAAACAACTACTAATGAGGTGAGTGCAGGAGCAGGGTCTTGGAAGCTTACTGTGGCATCAGACACCAACTCTGCAGTTGCTGAAATTAGAAATGGTCCGTAGGGACGGTCAGGGTGGTGGGAACCAGGGCGCAGGCAGGGTTATGTGTCAATTAGGACATAAGTTGGAAAGCCTCTTTAACTACCTATACAGCTGTCGAGTGTCCAGCAGCTGAACACGAGCCCCAGCTGATGGGACAGGGCGGGCTGAAACTGAGGTGACATAAGCACCTGCCTCTTGTCTATGTCATAGTGCCTGCCAGGTCACAATGACAGGGCTGCCTGAAGTCCTGCCCCTCGCCCTCTGACCCTCACTTTGCCGCAGGGAGGCACTGAACCGTGAAACTGCCTTGTAACAGGTCCCGCCCCTCTCTCTACTCCCTTTCTTATATCAAGAGGGGAAAAGCACGGAACTACCTCTATCCCATCTGGTCACCATACGCCTATTACCTCTACTGCTACAAATACCGAATCACCCTCCGGGAGAAGATGCTGCCGTGTTGTTACAGAAGGTACTTGTTCCCATCTGTCACTGTGGCTGACACACAGTGAAGGAAAGGAAAACAAGTCGAGAGATTCTTACAAAAGGCAGGGTAGAAGCCTCATATGGATTTGTACAATTTTTCTATTTGGTTGGCCTGGAAAAATAAGATGTTCCATAGGTGATCCAGGAGACACTGTGGAAGGCTGGTCCTGTTTAGCTGAAGTCAGGAAGTTACCTTCTCAGTTTATGTCTTCACCCCTGGCTCTGAGGTAAACTAATTTGGGTCTCTCTTTCCCAAACAAGCATCACTTACAAAGAACAGGAGGACCTGACGCTTCGGCCCCATTGCTGCCTCCAGTGCTCCTGAGTCCTTAGGAGGCCTCCAGGAGGGCAGAAGCGCTGAGCAGGAAAAAGACCACAGCCAGCTTAAAGAACTGTATTCAGTAAGTACAGTGCACCGGTGATGTGACAGGCCAGCTCTTTGATCGCTGTAATGGCTTTGTTGAGGAGGGAACACTGATAGCCATGAAAACTAGACATAGGTAGACCCCTGAGCACATTGTAAAATCTACTTCTTTCTAGATGGATTCCTATAGCTGGGAGCCAAGAGCAGGATGGGAAAAGAAGCAGGAACAAATGTATAGCAGATTAAAGTGAGTCTTGGGACATGAAGTAGTTGAGAGAGGCCTGGCAGTGAAAGCTAAAATCCCAGCTTCTTGAAAGGGCTGCAGAGGACACAGAGTGAGTACAAGGCTAGCCTCAGTGACTCAGCAAGATCTTATCCCCCAACCTTACAAAAAAAAAAAGTAACAGGCCGGGCGGTGGTGGCGCACGCCTTTAATCCCAGCACTCGGGAGGCAGAGGCAGGCAGATCTCTGTGAGTTCGAGACCAGCCTGGTCTACAAGAGCTAGTTCCAGGACAGGCTCCAAAACCACAGAGAAACCCTGTCTCGAAAAACCAAAAAAAAAAAAAAAAAAGTAAATAAAAGTGGGGCTGGAGATAGAGCATGAGCAAGACAACACCCTGAGCTTCCCACCACTAGAACGTTCTCCTAGGCACTTGACATCAAGTAGAACTCAGTATTGAAAGACTATCCCTAGGACTGAGGAATATTTTCATATCTCTTAAGAGTCTGACTTTCTTAGCCTCTCTCATCTGCCTGTGATTCTCCAAAAGCACCCCAGTTTACCCCAGATGTGACTTGAAGACTCAACGAGCAGATCGCTACTTCAGTCATTTCTTTTTTTTTAAATATTTATTTATTTATTATGTATACAATATTCTGTCTGTGTGTATGCCTGAAGGCCAGAAGACGGCACCAGACCTCATTACAGATGGTTGTGAGCCACCATGTGGTTGCTGGGAATTGAACTCAGGACCTTTGGAAGAGCAGGCAATGCTCCTAACCTCTGAGCCATCTCTCCAGCCCCTACTTCAGTCATTTCTTTTCCAGGCTGGGAACCTGACAGTGCTATCAACTGACCCCCTGCTTCACCAAGACCCAGTTCAGTTAGACTTCCGCTTTCGCCTCACCCCCCATTCCTCTGCTCACTGGCACGGCCTTCTGTGTGACCACCGACTCTTCCTGGATATCCCACATCAGGCGTTGGATCAAGGCAACCGAGAAAGGTGAGGAGCTGGATGGGTGTGGGGAAGGGATGGGGTACTCTGTTCCACCGTTCATCATGTCACAGTGACTTAGGAGCTGGATCAGACACACAGCACACAGATAAGATCTTGGGGTTTGGGGGCCGGAGAGATGGCTCAGAGGTTAAGAGCATTGCCTGCTCTTCCAAAGGTCCTGAGTTCAATTCCCAGCAACCATATGGTGGCTCACAACCATTTGTAAAGAGGTCTGGTGCCCTCTTCTGGCCTGCAGGCACACACACAGACAGAATATTGTATACATAATAAATAAATAAAATAAATATTTTAAAAAAATCTTGGGGTTTAAGGAATAATTTTAGGTTGAGGGATGGTTGCTGGACTCAGACTCAGGAACATTAAAGTAGGATTCAAATAGTTGAATAATTTTGCTACTCAGCAGTCCTTTCCTTCATGACCCCCTTCTGTATTGGAATCCCTTGGCTTCAGAGAAAAGCCAAACTCCTTCAGCAACTTTTCCTTTTCTAGTTTCAGTAGGTAGAGAAATCCTCACTGGTATTTCTCCTGCTGACTTCCTAGATAAAGTTAGCTAAGTATTAACTTTCTTTCTGGCCTCTAGCTTGACAGCAACATTGGAGTATGTGGAGGAGAAGACCAATGTGGACTCTGTGTTTGTGAACTTCCACAATGATCGGAAGGACAGAGGTGTGTTTAGACGTCTTTGGATGAGTCTGGCATTTCAGCACCCCCTGTCCCCACTTCTATTGCAAAGGAAATTAAGGCACACAACATTCTATTCTGTCCCATCACAACTGGACTAACAAGAAGTCCCTGCAGGTGGTACCAGGCACGAGCCTGGGAGCACCGGAGAAATTACACAGAATCCATTTAAGGAATGCGGTAGACTGACAAAGGAGGTCAAGAAAATGTATCGAGCCTTCACAGTAGGACAGGAACATATTTAAGCAGATGTAATATATCACTGCGCATCTTTCAGAGAATTTATACTCTGTTGGGTATAAGACAAGATGGAACAAGCCTGTGATCCTACTATTTGGAAATCTAGGACAGGAGAATTCCACATTCAAGGTCAGATTGGTTAAAACAAAACAAAGCCAAAAACAAAACAAAAAAAAGCTGTTTGCCGCCGATTGCAAGCAACAATAGTCACCATTTTAGAGCTTTGAATGCCATCATTGCACTAAGTGCTTGATAATCACATTTTAAATCTTTGAAGGTTCTCATTCTCAGTTTACAAACGGGTAAACTGGAGATCTGAAAGGTGAACTCAAATGTTAAAGTGAATACTAAGGCAGGGTAGGCCTGCATCTGTATCAGGCCCAAGCACACCCAAGTCTGCACTACACGGCTTTCGAGTCACTCTATAAGGAGTCATGGGCTGAGCCTCAGTGGATGTTCTAATATCTTGTTCTCTTCTCTTCTACAGGTGCCCTCCTGCGAGCCTTTAGCTACATAGGCTTTGAGGTGGTCAGACCAGATCATCCTGCCCTCCCTCCCTGGGATAATGTCATCTTTATGGTGTATCCCCTTGAAAGGGACCTTGGCCAGCCTGGCTAGTGAGCCTCCCTAAACATGTTTATACCATCTCTGTGAGGGGCCGGAAACCTCAACACATGGGACTCTGGGGCCCAGGATGTGATTTGAGATACTTCCATCCTAGGAAATAAAGGGTAGTGCAATCAAAGTGTTCACTGTTTGAGAGGGGGGATGCTGTAATGGAATAGGAACCTGATAGAAATATTCATTGTAGGACATATTTAGTGACTAAAAAGAACACAGTGACCTGAGTCAGACAGGGGAGGGCTCCTTTCGCTTTCTCCTTATCCCTCAACCATTTTTCCGTTCCCATTTACCGAGCACCTGCCAAGATCAATGACCAGTCAACTAGAATGTTCAGAAAGACTAAGCCTTGCTAGGATGCTTCATATATTTCAATTCAAACTAGAGACCTGTGCTATTTCCCTCTCTTTGGATGTAGAGAAAACCAGAGAAAAGTATGTACATCCTAAGGACTAGTATTACAACAGATAACAAGAGAACATTCTAGACAGCAAGTACTGTGATATACTGCAAAAATGGCAGGGGACACTCAAGACATAATGAGCATAAGAAAGGGGATATACTTTTTTTTTTTTTTGAGACAATGTCTCATGTAGCCTAGGTTGGCCTATATAGTGTGGTACCTCACATTGATCCTTTCAGTTCTCCAAGTGCTGAGGTGTCTGTGTGCCAGAGTTTTATTTTTATGTGCCTGAATGTTTTGCCTACATGTATACATGTATACAGTATGCATGCCTGGTGCCCACAGGGTTTAGAAGAGATCACTAGATCGCCTGGGACTGGAATTACAGGATGGTTGTGAGCCACCTTGTGGGTGCTGGGAGCTGGACCTGGGTTTTCTGCAAGAACAGCCAGTTGGTTTTGATGAGCTTTAATATGAGCTGCAAGTCATGACCTCCGACCTTCAGGGAAAGCAGCACTGAGGAAAACAAGTGAATGGGTTCAGAGCCTGTTGTATAGGAACCCCACTGTCAGACTGAGCACACATCAGTGCTCTACCAGTCGGAACCTGTTTAGGTTCTTCCAGGACTCTAAGACGTGCTCAAACTTCTCCCTTAATGTCTTTCTGCTACTTGGGTCCAAAAATTTGAAGCAAGGAAGAGACACTAGGAGACAGGGCTCAGCAAGTTTACAATGAAGACCTATTCCTAGACCCCCGGTTTCTAGAGTCCTGATCCAGGGCAGGTGGGCTTTGTGTGACTTGTGAAGTAACAGCGAGGATTATGAATGTTTGTATGGGAAGGATACATCTTTCAAGATAGGCCTCTGTATGAGGCAGCAGGCAATTACTATCAAGATTTACTCAGAAGAGACTTTACTCAGAGGCATACAAGTTGTGACGAGTATATGGTTTTAGATAATTTTATAAAGAACTTTATTTGGCAAACGATCCCAAATTATTTAAGCAGAACTACACCTTTCTCTAGGTGGCTGTACACAGAAACATGCTAGAAATTTACAGCATTTCCTGCTACCTCTCCATTTCTTCTGCCTGTATTTTAAAGTTCAAAAAGAAATAGCTGAAGGACTATTTCAAAAGAACTGTCTCCAGTCACCTCAGCACTGAGAGTGAGAGGTAGTACTCTCTGCGAGGCTTCTAAACATGCCAATTTCCCTTTGTCTCCCGACGACTCCAGTCTTGAGTCCAAACACTTCCTACTACTATAGTCACCAGGGAAGGTGAGTCAGAAACGAGGCTGGGAATTCACAGCAGCATTCAAACACGGAAAGATGGAGAGGAGCCAGGAGTGAAGGAGAAATCTATTTGTCTCCATCTATCACTTTGTGGTAGGTCCAATGGAACAGAAAACGCATTTGATCCAAAGCAAGCCACACCATTTGAAATAAAGGACTTCATGGATCTGTCACAGATTCTTCTCCTGGCACCAAATCCTGCCAAAGAGAGAAAAAACTTAAAAGGGCTTTGAGAGCAAGTTAAGCTGCATCAGAGATGTTCCAGAGAAACACAGAGAGCATAGGGAGGAGGGATTGAAGGCCCTTATGTCCCCCCCTTCCTTTCCTGCTGCTACGGCACCACTTACAGTAAAAAGCAGATGGTCCAGCAGCTGCAGCCCAGACCTAATACCAGACTATGTCATCAAGGATATCAGACGACATAGAGTCTTCGCCTTCTAGTGAGGAGAAATGAGAACGTGAGATTGTTTCCAGCAGGCATGGCCAGTGAAGCTCAGCAGAAAAACAGGTGGTTGGTGTTCAATGTCCTAAGAGCCATGTGTTTTTAGACATGGTTGCATGCAGTGTGGACTGGAGTTGACCCTGCTCCTCCCTCCACTTACCAATACTAGAATTGGTCTGATGCAGTCCTGGGGATCTAACCCAGGACTTTGCGCATGTCAGTCAAGTACTCTACTAGTCCCAAATCAAGCTGCAAGTAACCTCCCTGATCTGGACTTGCACAGATGCTATATGAAAGTATAACTGTACCTGTTACATTGAGGATGGTCAGGGTTTCTGTTATCTCTACTGGGCTACTTTTGGTCTCATCATCTGCTTCTGCGGCCTTATGGAAAAAGAAAAAGAAAGTACTTTGGCAATTGGAAAGGGAAAAGCCTGTCATTCTGATCACAGGTCTGGTTAAGGCAGTTGCTCAAGGTGACTAATAAGAGAGACACAATGTTTTTGATTGCATTTTCATTCATCCTGGAAAATATAGTCTAAAGGTTCTCATGAGGACATAAGCTTCATCTCATTAAGTTGAAGTGGAGCTAGAGGTGAGAGAGGGAGAGCACATATTACTTTTCTGGAGGGCCCAAGTCAGATTCCCAGCACCCACGTTAGATGGCTCACAACCTCCTGTTACTTCAGCAGATCCAATGTCTCTTTCCTTTTTGGACATTCACACATTTAGTATGCATTATAAAGATACACACACAAGATTAAAAAACAACTGCTATAGAGATGGCACAGAGGTCAAGAGCAATGGCTGTTCTTCCAGATGACCCAGGTTCTGTGCCCAGCATGCACATGGCAGCTTACAATTTTCTCTAAGTCCAGTTCCAGGGACACCAACACCCTCTCTTCTGGCTTCCTCATCAGGTACATGCATATGGTATAAAGATAAAACATGTAGGCAAAACACACATATGAAAAAAATCATTAAAATCTTAATAAAATTGATATAAGTGTTTAATGACTAGATGCCTTCATTGTGCCTCTAAGCACTCAATTTTCCTGGAAGCACCTTAAATGACTATAGTGACTCACCGTGTCCGTCAACATATCTGGGGCAATTCTGTTTTCTTCTTTGTTTTCAGGAAGTTCTATTGCATATCCTTTACGAACTAATTCTAGCCCAATATCAAGTTTCTAAAAAAGAAAAACGAGAAAGCAATAATGTTCTGTTAAGGGAGAGTAAATTTGCAATGGGGTGAGATGGTCAGCCAGATCTTTCAGAGTGACTGCAAGCAATGTATGAACCTCACCCTTACCTTCCCATTGCTGGTATCATATAAATAGATTTGTGGCCAAGTTGAGATTCCAGTCTGGGCATCGCTGGAGAGCTTGGCCACGAGGGGCTTCCAGCCAGCACAGTGAGTGAGTCTTTCAAACTCATCTAGTGCTGCCTCTTCCCACTGCTCACCTGGAAGATCATGAGGGAAAACAAGGGTGTGAGCCTGAGAGCTGTAAGAGGTGGGATACATCCTACCCCAGCATGTATGCCAGGAATGTACTACTCATATTCTTATTTGGTGTGTCTGGATCTGACTGCCAAGTAAGTTTCTGTCTTGCTTTCTAGTGCTAATAAGGAAAAGGTACCTGAGTCTCCAAAACTCAGAAAGCTTGGGAATGGGCAATTCCTTACATGTTGTATGAAAGTTACTGTTTGGAAGTAAAGTCAATAGGTGGTATAACTGGTTTACCTGAGGGGGCAATCCGTGCTAGACTGCACTCTATTGCTTGAAATGGAAGGCTTAGAAAGTCACTCCTAAAATAAGAGATTAATTTTAATGAAATTAGAATCCCAGGTATACACGTTTCCTTCTAAATCTCCTTGATGATATCTGCCAATAGCGCCCCAGTTTTTTATCGGCAGATATGAGCCAACAGCTCGGATCCTAACAGGTCTCTGTACTCACCTGAGAGTTCTGAGAGACTCCACTGGGGAATCTCCATTATCTCCAAAGTCAACAAAGTAGAGGTCCAAATTCCCACTTTCCAAGGTACCAAGAATCTGGGCTCGATACCAGCAGCCATCTAGATTTAAATGTGCTGCTACAATGTCTCCTACATGCAGAATCAAGTCTTCAGGCTAAACGTGGGGATGGAAGGTCAGGAGAGGTTATTTCCAAGGGATAGCTAAAAGAGTACGGAAAGGAACATCTGACATTGAGAAAGGTAAGCCCCAGCCTAGCCTTCCCTCCAGCAACTCACCAGAGTACTGTTATAATGCTGGGTCATCTCGCTGATAAGTTTATCCAACTGGAGGCTATAGGAGTCAATGATTTGGATCCAGAAGTGGTTGGGGTGTTCAGAAGCAGAAACATATACTTCGCGGTACTCATCAGAACTGAAGTCAGTACTAGGAACTAAACACAGAGGTAAGGATGGTGACCACATGTATGCGTGTACTCACGTGAATACCCCCACCCCATCCCTGCATGAATACATACATACAAGCACGCACTCATATACAAAATGTGTAAAGAAACTAATAAAAATGTAATTATTACTTAGATCTGTTTTTGTCAACATATTTCTATCTTATTTTTCTTCATTAGCTGTACTTGGAAAATTATTAATGTTTGGTATTAGTTCAAGTAAATAAAATATTAGCCAAAAGGCATTATGACAAAGATGGAAATCACAAAAACAGAATTTTCCTATTTTAGGTTGGTTAATCTAATAGGCTCCTCTTCATTACATACTTTCAAACATGGACGTCTCTGGATTGCTCAGGGCATCAGAATACTGAAAGTTTTCATCATTTGGTTTCTCCCAGGAAGCTTCTTTTGGTCCAGTAACAGCCATATCACCACCTCCTTTGCAGAGAGGAGCCTCCAGGGGTGCCGCTGGCTCCACGCTAGAGTCGGTATTCT